CATGAAATGTCTGAGTTAAAGCTCAAAATAAATGTAAACCTACCTCACTTGCTGTGTATTGTCGTCTCTGTGACTCTAAATGGCGAATTTCAGTGATTTGGTGGGTTTTGAGTCGACTGTTACTATACGTTATAACAGTCGACGCAAAACCCACCAAATCGCTGAAATTCGCCATTTAGAGCCACAAAAAACGACAATACACAGCAAGTGAGATAGGTTTACATTTATTTTGAGCTTTAACTCAGACATTTCATGATATAAGTTTACGATAATAAGACTCTTCAATATTCTCCCATACATTCCTTCATATTTCGAATAGACAACCAGACTCGTCGCTTGTCTGGGCCCCCTGTGCTGTAAATAGATGGTTTACGTCCTGGAAGCATTTCAAATCGAAAGTGCAGACTCAAGAGTGGTGTTCATGGTCCCCTCACCGTCGGCAATTACTAACCATTCTGAGGATTTTAAGGTAGATCTGACCGCATTCAGGAACAACGACAGCAGTGATTTTTTCTAGTGCCAATCTTATTCTCAAGTAATGTCATGGTTGCCACAGCCAAAGGTTTTTGCAATTCTTTGACTTTTCCCTGACAAATGTAAAATATCCCTACAAAACTGGATTAACAATTTTACAAATGTCTTGGTAATGGCCTTCAACGTCCCCTCACAGCCGTTCCCTCCACTCACTGATTTATTTATGTCTCAGCAAGTTACATGCAGTGTGAATAAATTTATAGTTCCCGCTTAACGTAACGTGGAAAAAAGATTTAATATCAAATTCTTTCATATATTTCACCTTCATGGAACGTGTTAGACTGATAAAGTATTGTTGAATGAAATTTAACGAAAAGCTGATGTTGGGTTTCTCAGGAAATGTAGAACACAATGAAATCGAGCTTGCATTACATGGGGGGCAGATACGCTTGTCAAGAATCTACGGACTGTACATGAGTAACATCGATCACAAAAAGGTCAATAGTTAGCATCTCTCATTCTGAAGGGACTCTGGAAAGATGAACGAGTTCGTATTTACACGAGATTTTACTTCTCCTTGATTTCTTCGTGCGTAACGTAAATTTTCCCTGACTCAAAGTGAACTTCCTTGAATTATCCCTGACCTAGAGGATATCTTTTTTTCCTTACCTGTAGCAACTATTGATTATTTACACGGTAAACAATGGATGAAGATAATCGATAATCAAATTTTTGTGGAGTAATCATAATCACACAACACCTTTTCACGTGCCTGTCATCAAACTGCTGAAGTAATGTACCTAAGGTATCTAACTTTAGGTGTATTACTACATAGTTTGTGAATAATTTTTATGGCTTGATCGATAGAGATTTTTATCAGCCGAAAATGATCGCAGAGCGCAGTTAAGTAAACCCTAGGCTTTATCGCAGTTTTATTTACTATTCATTTCTAGTAGTATCTCTCCATTCGTTTTCAATTGTTTAATTTTGTTTCGTTTCACTTCGAGTCGTCCTTCTCCTTGAATCCTTCTTCTTTCACCAAAACTTTGTCCGCGTATCCACTTCCCTTAGATTTCTTTTTTTATTTGTCTTGTTACGAGAGGAAACTAGCTACATAACACACGATTGCTCTTCAGACAAAACCCGAAAGGCCATCAGAAATTCTTTGATTAATAGGTGATCGAAAAAAAAAAAAAGTTCAATTTTTTTTCTAACCTGAGCTCTTTTCCTGTGTAAAAAAAGCAAAACTCACCAAAGACGTAATACAAGGAGAACTGAAGGAGAACCAAACGGATGGAACGAAGGAATCATAACAGCTGGAAAAAATCCACAGGAGGTTAGGGAATGAGGCAAGCTTAAAATCTGAGCATAATATTTCATGTCCACAATAACAAAATACGTAATACAAGGAGAACCAAACACATGGAACGATGGAATCATAACAGCTGGAAAAAATACACAGGAGGTTTGGGACTAAGGAAAACTGAAACGTCTTAGGGTAGTCTTGGCGTAATGATTTAATCTCCACAATAGAAATAAAAAAAATCCGTTCAAATACATAGGCTCAAAATCAGCAGCAATTTGCATTCGATAATACTAGGAAAAGCTCTCCTTTAACCTCTGGGGTCATTAGAGCTAAGGTAGAATAAAGGCTGCATGATAGTTTCTAAAGAAACTGTTTGGGGCTGCGTCGGTGGGGGTAACGAAATAATTTCAAGATATCAACAAAGTTGAAATGGTAAATTGGCCACCGTTACGATTATAAAAGCTGACGTTTCGAGCGTTAGCCCTTCGTCGGAGCGAAGGGCTAACGCTCGACGAAGGGCTAACGCTCCGACGAAGGGCTAACGCTCGAAACGTCAGCTTTTATAATCGTAGCGGTGGCCAATTTACCAGTCAACTTTGTTGATATATTGAAATTATAAGGTAGAATTAGTCGAATATACTTTAGAAAAGTTCCAAATGACGTTTTAGTAGTATTGCATCATCATAGTATTGAAACATCCCCTAAACAAAAATAGCTTTTGCACGCTTTAAATACAGATGAATGGTCTCTCCCTTTCATAAGAAACATCTTTTTTATTCAGAGCTGCTAGATCTGCAGGAAGTTTTCAGGCGACCTTCCAAAAACAAACAGAAACAAAATGGAAGACTGCCCTTAATTTTCAAACCCCTGTGAAAGGGAACAAACAAATTGAATTGATTACACCTACAACACTTAACTTGCATGCGTACCTCGCAAACGGAGGAAGGGGTCCAGAGTCCGGAATACAGACACAACTTGAATCGAAAGTAACTAATCATAACTTCCGGTATTTACATTGTTGTCTCGTGTTTTAGGTGTGACCGCCAAAACCCCTTATTGCCTGCAGTCAGGAAATTACCTGACATGACATAAATTCCATAATTTCCAGACCATAAGCGTCGTAGAGTCAAAAGCTCGCCAAAGAGAAAACACCGCTCGTACGTCGTCAATTAAAGTCGATATGCAACCTCTCCGCTCTAAATTCATTCAAAGAATAGGGGCTTGGTTCCAATTGCGATCAACCTATGAATCTAATGAAATTGAGCTGGATGCAAATTCAAAGGTAAATCAATAAATTCCATTTATTGGTCATACTCTTTGCCAAACGTCTTTGGATTTTGCTAACATCTGGGAGAGAGAGAGTCCAAGTTATTGGTAACTTGTGACGTTCTTTGTTTCAGCTATCGAATACAGTGCATTCAGTGCACTCAGTGAAAGTTAACTAATCTACTGAATATCTTAATTTTCTCTACCAAAGAAGAATGAAGATATTCAGACAGGGCCGGAGAAGTAAAATCTCGGGCAAATATGAACTCGTTTATCTTTTCAGAACTCCTTCATGATGAAAGATGCAAACTATTGGCCTTTTTGTAATGTCGATGTTACTCATGTACTTACAATAGTTAAGTACAGTCCGTAGATTCTTGACAAGCATATTTCCCCCTTCTTTGTAATGCAAGCTTAAGTTGGCTTTTGAATGAAATAAAACACTTATTCTATAGGCTAAAATCATTTTTTCTTGGATTAGAAATGAGAAAACAAAAATAGATTATGTTAAGTTAAAAGGAGGGCGATCTGAGTGTTGTAAGAGATTGTGATATCTGCATTTGATAAACTGATGAAAGCTAAACACTTCCGCGTACTTGAACGTGTATAGGGATGCAATTTTAAACACAAAAGCAGGGAATCGGAACACTAAGCATGTTTGTAAACAGCCGCTGGTGTTACTTCAGTCTCGGTAATTCCCCGAGAGGAAGCGGGGAGTTTTTGGAGACAATCAGGTGTCGATGGTCTCATCTGTCAAGCTATGCCTAAACGTCCGGAAAGGATGGATAAATTTCAACAAAAAGACCCGCTCGACGATGGCAAAGGTGTTTTCAAAAAAGATTTCAAAAGCAAGAATTGCTCTGCGATGATAACGTTACATTTCATTGCAGAAATTCCAATACGTTAGTAAAACATGGACGTAATAGAAACAAGAATATTGACCTTGTTTTTCTTTCTCTTGAATATGGATTTCTCGCTACTGTTTGTCACTTAATCACGCTCAAAAAAGTGGAACAAGATTCATAATCTAAGCCAGTCTGTTCAGGAACTATGGATAAGGTGTCTCACTCTTGATTGAAGGGCACAAAGGCCACGTCTCAATCCCATATTGGCGGAGTTTTGTTATTGTTAAGCCTGCTCACAGTGTACGGAGAAAAATTTAAAATTCTCGATCGAGGATCTTGAAAAATGTACGTTTTATATGAGTTTAACACCCTTCACTTAGCTTAAGACATCAACATTCTAGTTACCCCGTTTGACTTATCTTCGTATCTTGGGAGTGTTTTCCAAAACAGTACTCGTTTTAACACTCTGTTATTGTTATGCAAAGACTCACAAGGCCACTTGACTGGTTTAGACTGAGTTTTCTAGATACAATTGGTCCTCATAGTAAAACAACTGCGCATTTGGTCAATTTTGTGACTAAATCCGATTGTAATAGGATGTAATGAATTGCTTTCATTTTCATAGAGAATTTTCTTCAACTACACGGCTTGTAGCTTTCAGGCGTTTGTAATCTTTCATACATAGATTGCAACTCTGACTTCTTCTGTACCTGGATCGTATTCTTTTACTTATATATGTATTTTTCGTTTATTGGAAATTATATCAAACAACTCTCAGTCTGTCTCCCTTGCCACTTCCTACTCTCATAAGGGCTCTAACGTCACGTAGCCAGTTGCGTGACGATCCCAAAATAAACGAATTATCACACAACAGCGTTTATATTAGTCGATCTCTCACATCACTTGCAAAAATGTTTCAGTCTTTCATTTTCTCAGAGGAATATCTTCGGGCTGACGGGAGTAGCTTTAAAATTTTATTTCAGAAAATTATTTTTGCTTTCTTTACTAGCGTGGCTTGTTGATTTTACAAATTTCTAGAGTAGTATTCTGCTCTTTAAGTGTAAGACGGCCAAAACGGTCGACGTAAGAACAAAAGGCAACTGAAACTCTGGGTATTTCCCACTGCATGCTCAATATGCAGCCGTAGAAACCAGTCTTACTTGATAGAAACTAAAGAAATCTGTGGCAATAACTGAAGTATTTGGGGTATTAATTTTCTCAGTTGACCGCGTGACTGTGGGGACTCCCCCTATGTCAATTTGCATGTTAAACTTCCTCAAATGTTCGTATATAAGAAGAACTTATGTTGCAATTCGCAACTGGCGGCGAAAGAACCCAAGATTATCAGAGCACGTCTATAAGGAAAACTTTAAAACGCAAATATGGTTCAGGTACGATAAGATTGTTGTAAATTTAATTGTACATCTTCCAAACAGTTCTCATCCTGCGCAGATTGCGTCAGGTAACGTAAATTACGTTTTGTTTAAGTTACGTTTTGTTTAAGTTAAAAAAAAAAACTTAATCAACAGTCCTGATCTATGAGTTTCTCTCGACAGGTAACAGTGATTCAGTCCTGCTATCGTATGATCAAACAGGAACACAATCCTGACCGAGGGGGAAACCTCATGATGGCAGTTTTGCCTCAGACCGAAACTCAACATGGTCTTCAAATCGCAATAAAGTTTATTGGAAGCCATAGGAGTGCTCAAACAGGTAAAAAAAAAAAAAAAAAAAGCGTTCGTACGGTTTGATCCCCACACAAGGCTCTCATGTAGCTTTCTTTCATTTAAAAGGTGATGTAATTTATACAAAACTCGAGACTAATTCGAGGTGTATATTGCAACACTAACGGAGCGGCGTTCATAAACTGACACGTGGAAGTTAATGCATTGCAAAATTAGCTTAAAATTGCAAATCATGGACGTAATCTATTTAAAAACCCACAACGGGGATTTTTTATGCTTTTTAATTCAATCGAGATTTAATTGTAAATAGGTAGTTACGAAAACGAAGACCCCGAAAACGAAGACCTAAGACCCTCTATGGAAACGATTAGACCCATTACGAAAACGAAGATCCAATTATGAAAACGAATACCCCCTACGAAAACGAAGACCCATCACGAACACGAAGACACATTACTAAAACACCATTACTTCCTGTGGTTTTCGCCGGCAAAGAATTCAGGTGTCTTGTTTCTGTATTGCTTTATTGTTTTTATTGTTTTTATTTTTTCCGTAATGGGTCTTCGTTTTCGTA